ACCAGACTCCCCCATGGCTGACTGCAGTTTGAGTCCCAGACCTGGTGGCTTGCTTTCTCACTTTTTCTCTCTCTGTCCCTCTCTGGTCAATTAACATAAATAAATAAATAAATAAATAAATAAATAAATAAATAAATAAATAAATAAATTCAAATAAAATCATTATTTTAAAAAATTATGTATTTGAGACCAGCAGATGCCATCATGGTCATGTCACTGGACTGCCACATGGCTGACCATGGTTCAAGTCCCAGACCCGGCAACTTCAAATTCGTATCAGGTGTGTGTGCATGTGTGCCCGATCCTGAGAGGTGACTGGAGAAGGGAGAGGGGGCTGAGGTGTGGCATTCTCCACGGGGGGTTCTTGCCATGGCCCGCTGAGCACACTGCCCTCGCTGTGCTACTCCCGCCCAAACACTCCCCACCTGCTAGTCAGACGAGCCCCATGGAGGGAGGGTCCATGAAGCAACTGACCCAGACAGTTTGGCAGGAAGTCCCAAAGTCACTGAGGGGAAGCAGAGAAGGGGAACTGTCACAGCCTGGAGGACACGGAGGAGGCAGGACAACTGCTGTGGCACTGGGCTGGACCAGGTCCAGAGTGAACAAGCACACGGGGCCTGGGGGACTGCCGATCGCGTAAGCCACAAGGTTAGGTTAGGGGTACACCAGTGCTGACTTCTGGGGTGGGGTCCCCGTAAGATGTTAAGAGGCTGGCATTCAGGAAGTGGGTGGTGGGCATATGGGAATTCTCTACACTATTTTTGTAATTTTTTAAGAGAGACTTTTGCCATATGGTGCATTTGCTCACCTGAGAGACAGGAAGAGAGAAAGGGAGAGATCAGACCCGGGGGATGGCCATGCCTCGATCCTTTCTTCTCCATTCTCTCAGGATTCTGGGCACGCACGCACCCAGCGTGATTTTCAGGCTGCCAGGTCAGGGACTCGAGCCGCGACTGGCCATATGGGAGTCCAGCACCTTAACCGCTGTGCCATCTGCTGGCCCTGATATTTTCATAAGTTTTTTAAGTCTAAAACGAATGCAAAATGATAGATTTTTGAAAATCCAAGATTCAAACTTACAGATGCAACAGAAGTTGTTGTAGAAAAGGATTGACCCACAAATCTCCTGGGCAGAATGGAGAGGGGGAGAGAAGGGGAGAGGAGCGGGGAGAGAAGGGGAGAAAAAGGGAGAGGAGGGGGGAGGAGGGG